CATTAGAAAACGTTGGAGTACACCCAGTCTGGGCACACCAAAACATATCTCCCATCGACTGGAGTGGACCCCATCTTCGAAGGCTGTGCGCCTCGATTAAATATGGAAACAGCTGAAGGGGTAATGTTATGCTCAAGATTTGTCCCAGAAGGGAAATTTTCAGCGCCCAGTGGAGACTGGGGTTGATTTAAAGGTTGTGGAGTCCCTCCAATAAAAGTTTAGCTAATGTTGGATTTCTGCTTACTTGATGGGATCTACTACCCCAACCGGGAATATCAATATCCTCTATGGCTGTACGGAGTATTCGAGGCAGCCGTAATCCTTAAAACGTTGATATTTACCAACAAGGGATCCCAGCTGACGCCCTGGCTAAACGCTAAACTTCCCGCTAGACACGGTGCATAGTTAGTCTTGATAATCCTGGAAATGTTACCTCTCAATACAACTCCATCAGTAGGTACGTGGCCAGGGGAATACAGCTTACGCAGAATTTTTCATACAAAACGCAAAAACTCAACATTCGATTGACGTGAAATAACTAAATTTGAAATTGTAAATACCGTATTCGAGCGGCAGGTTCGCTTTCCAGCAGATTTACTCGGGACGAGAGAAAATTTTGCAATCACGCATAAAGGATGGTCCTGAACAAAGTATGAAACGTGTCCGGGAGGCAACAGGTTTTTATTTCATCAGAAGCCCCACTGCCCAAGGAACGCTCAGGCCCCTTAAATCACCATAGTGTTGCCCAATACCGAGAAAAACAATTGGGATTCCAGTGGCATGCACCATACTGACAAGCGCACCAACCATGTCCCCTACCGTGTCACATTTGCTCATGATAAATCCATCAAGTTTTCTCCCGGTACCAAAAGCTTGGTTGAAGTTTCGAGCTTGCATGACACTGTCAGTACCAACAAGAGCCTCGCCCACCATGAATATTTTATCCGGTTGCGCAAACTTCGCAAATTTTTCCAAGGAAGACATGAGGCGCTGATCGTTGTGTCGGCGGCCAGCTGTGTCGATAAGGACAACGTCAAAGTTATTCACAGCAGCGTAGGCCACCGCGTCTTTGGCTACATTGGCTGCATCCTTACCGTAACCCTTTTCATATAACTCCACTTGTCCAACGTTCTCCCGAGCGCTTAATTCTTTAAGGTTGCGCGCATGCACGCGAAGCTGTTCGACTGCACCGGAGCGGAAGGTGTCGCAAGCCGCGATAAGGACACGGTAGTTATTCTGGAGTAAGAAAAAGCAGATTTTGCTTAGATTGGTGGATTTTCCAACACCGTTTACTCCAACAATAGAAATGACATATGGGCGGCGCTGTTTTTGCGAATTCGATGGTGATGTGACAGCTTCGATCTCCCGGAGAAGATCCAATGAGGACGTGGGCGTGAGGATTTTCCGGAGCGACGATTCCATTGCGGCTCGAAGAGCGGCGTCAATGCTCTGAAAGCTTCCGGTCTTTTTCCCAATAAGCTCCTGTTCAACACCATCACATAAACGAACAGCCGCTTCACGGGCAACATTTTTTTTCAATAAGTGTTCCTCCATGGCCTTGAGGGGTTTGTCTAAGTCTGCCTTGGTCAAGACTTTTCCACCAACAATATTTCGGAAAAGGCCACTAATAGCACCCAAACTAGAGCCCACAACACCGTTGGACATACTAGCCCTGTCCTTAACGGCATCTGCATCTTGAAGAATGGAGTGGACTTCATCACCTAGATCCTTCAACACAAATTGGCCCTTTTTAGTCTTCGTCCCCCACGAATTCTGATCGACTGCCTCTACTGGAGGGCCAGCTACTTCCTCTGATTCTGAACCGTTTACATTGGAAGCGGAATAATCCAGGATTTCGCCATTGTCTTCGTCCGCAAAGCCCTCCGAGTCCCATTTGCGCATTTTCTTCACTGCCCACTTCGCATTCTTTGCTTTCTTAATTGTATCTTCGCCTGACGAAACATTTGCACTTGAATTTGCAGCTTTTCGTGCGCGTCGTGAAGTCCGACCGCCTGGACCAGCTTTCGCAGTAATGATATGGTTCGGTGTGGCCGGCCTCGATGTCTCTGGAGTTTGGGAAGGTGAACTCTCATTCGAGTTCGCCACGGCCCGCGCAGCATGGCGCTGCGCTGGAACACAATTAGCACGTACGAATATAAATGGTGGCACGGAAAGAAAACCTACCAGGGAGAAGACCAGGGATTGGAGGTGGAGGCGGGCCTCCGTTATCCGCCTCAACAAGGGTATCCTTCTTCTCCTCAATCAACAAAGAAGACGAGCCCTCAACTGCTTTTCCAGCAGCAGATTCCAACTCTTTTACTTGCTGATCAAAGTACTTGTCAAATCGGTATTCGATAATTCTAGAATTTGGTTTCTTAAGCTGCTCGTTGTAAATTTCCACAAAGATAGTTTTGATATTCTCGAGCAATTCGTCAATCCAGGTTAAATGAAGAAGAGACTGATAAACAGCCTGGAGTGAGTCTCATCAAATTTCATATTAGTTTTTGTCCAACGTAGGATTATAAATTCAGATAGAACGTATGCATGTACCACGAAGATTAAACCCAGATCCTTTGCCCGTTTCCACTTCAACGTATATTTCTCCTTCCTGTACCTTGGCGCAACAGCACCCGAACCGGCCTCTTGCTGGAATTTCTCCTCAATGAACACATCGTTGATCAAGCTGTTGATAACATGGACTCCCACTGGAGCATATGATCGTGACCAAAGGACCACCCCAGAGGAGGTTATTATTTCAAAGGAGTCGAGCATGGCGGATGCCCGTAAACCGGCGGTAACTAACGAGAACGAATGAGGTATTCAGTCGCATGAACGGGTTGTGTAGAAACCAAGAAGTAGTAATCGCCGTCCGACTATTTATTTTACTCTCCTTTCGCAGGTGTGGAGCAACTTAAGTGCAACATGGCGGAAAACGAAAGGATGCGGCAACGCACAGACCAATATTACATCAGCGAGCACATAACGTAAACCACCTTCCAGCACCTTTGGCGATGACGGCAATATCAAACATGGACATGTCAGGATAATATCCACTTTTCCGCAACGCTCACGCTGACTTTTTACATTTTATCTTTTGCCCCTGGCGATACCCAAGCTTCCTGCTCGATTCCGACACCTTCATTGCACGAGCCCATCCGTCCGATGTTCCACTAGCTAACTCATCGTTTGGGACACCGTTGCTCTTCGACCTCGATGCGAAATCCCCCCGACCCATAATCCCACTATGCAACGCACTCCTTTTGCTCCTGCGCCTGCTCAGTCTCCCCCTCTTCATCATCCAGTGCCCCAACATGTGTCTACTGTCCCGATGATGCGGTCTCCGCCACCGCCAGCTCCGCAGCATTCTCAGTCCTCTAGCTATGGCAACCCATACCAGCCTGCCACCGCTCAGGGGGGCAGTGGCACATTTGCACCTGGCTTTGGCGGCTTCATTTCAGATCCCACAGCGCAAATGGGTTTCCAGGTTGGCAAGAGTGCTGTTATGGCAGGGCAGGAATATGTGGAACAAAATGTAGGACTGTTCTGCTCAGAGTTCATGAAGTTTAGTCTCATTTGCGATTTCCGTGTCTGTCATACTCATCCTTCAATATAATAGTTAAACCGTTATATCTCGATCCCAGCCTTAAAACATTATTTCAACGTTTCGAACTCATATGTACTCAATAAAACCATGCTCGTCCTTTTCCCATGGCGACATAAACCGTGGTCTCGCCAACAGGCACGGTTAAATGCTGTGCAGTCTAGTGCAAATGGCCAAATCGCGCAAGCGCAGTACACCTCAATATACTTGCCTCCCCGAGACGATCTTAATTCGCCGGATATGTACATCCCTGCTATGGCGTTGGTGACCTATATTATTTTGTCTACTGCTCTAGCAGGGCTGCGCGGCGTCTTCCACCCTGAACTATTAGGCTCAATTACCACGACTGCGCTCGCAGTAGTCATTTTTGAAATCCTCTGTTTGAAAATTGCAATGTATATTCTCAGCATTAGCAATGATTCCCAACTCCTGGACCTGGTCGCGTATTCTGGCTATAAATTTGTGGGCATCATTGTTACACTCGTCTCATCAGAAGTTCTCACTCCAGGTCAAGGCACCGGTAGCTGGGTTGGCTGGACCGCATTTACTTATACATTCCTTGCCAATGCGTTCTTCCTCGTAAGTTCCCGTGTTTAATTAAAATTGGCTGCATTATCTGTCTCTCTACTAACCTACCATATTAAAAAGCTTCGATCTCTGAAGTACGTCCTCTTACCGGATTCCTCTAGTGACTCCCCGATGCGTGGAGGCACTATGACAACTGTTGCACGCTCACAGCGCAATCGACGCACGCAATTTCTATTCATTTACTCTTACATCGTGCAATTTATTTTCATGTGGATTCTCAGCCGAGCAGACCCAGTTGCGTCGGCTGTGGTATCTAAAGTTGGAGGGGCTAGCAAGGGGCCTTAAGAATATATATATATAACTTCTCCACGTCCAATTGTGGGCAAGATATTGCAGCGAAGAAAACGAATATCAAGAGAATCTTTCTCCTCGTTCCGCTGGGGCTAATCCCAGTACTGTTTATCAGATTTGCCTTCCATCTTTGGGAGCGATAGTTGATAATGGGGACCATTTCTTTCGTTCTTTATTCCTTGCGCTACGACATGCTCATTTTGCGCCTGTTTGTTTCCCTATCGTTGTTTTCATATTTGATTATTGCTATCAATTTTGGGGTTTCTACTATTATGAAATTGTGATTGGTTTTGTCCACCTCTATACATATTTTCTTGGTCCCGGCTAAATTTTACGAAAGGCGTTCGCATATAAGACATTTCAACATGGGAAATGGCCAAATTAATGGGTTTAGTGTTCCTCCTTCTCGCCTTTGGCGCCTTTTCATCATAGATCATGTTTTGCGCGAAGATAGCCAGCGGAAAAGCCTCTTGTATTCCTGACAGAAAAAACTACCACACAGTTCTTCAGAAAACGTCTTTACTTTAAAATTTCGATTGTCGGATAAGGAACTAATTGTTTTTCAAGGTCATTTTACTATCATCAATTAATGAATGCGTTTGGGACAGCGCAGGGAATAAAGAAAAGTCATACCCATGAACAGCAGCTTCATAAAAATGCATGCCCATGAAACGCCCTTGCAGCAATACCATTCTCAAGCCTTCACACAGGGTCAAGTTTTAAGTGCAAAAAGTGGTATCAGAGATAGCCTCGCTTTCAACTGCCTTGCCAACCAATCCTGAAGAATCTAAACAAATTTGATAATATAAAGGGATACTTCTAATAAAGCCCAGGTGAAGAAATGCAGAATTATCTTTGGATCTTCTTAAGTTTGTTGAGTGCCTAGACAAATTAGGTGGCTTGCTATGGATGCCTAAGACCTTGACATCCCAAGGTGCAAGAATCTACAAGGACATCTGAACAAGGACGGCAGAGGCTGCTTTGCCAAAAAAAACACCCCGTTACCGTCTAAAGTCAATGGCATTCCTGCCAATGGTCGAGCGGTACCGTTTGTTAACATCTTCGAGAATGTGGCGAGACAAATGCGAATCGAAATAACGAAACCATTGCCGGATTTTGGAGTATGGAACAGTTTTAATATGTTTCAACCACAGGTATTCTTTTAGATATTCCAATGCATCGTCCAAATCTTGAGTGACGCGAGTGTGCTCTTGAGTTATAAACTCAACCTGACGACAGAAGATATAGCTCCATGGCGGAGCCATGACGGTGAGACCACCGTGGCGATAGATGATGGCATTCTGGTGGATCGCCTTGTCAGTCAAGCGCCTCCCCATCTCTTGTGAAAAACATGGATCTAATAAGAAGCTGGTATCTTGAAGCCTCAGCTGCTTCAAGGCTTCGTGGACTGCATTGCTGAGTACGACCGCGGCATCGCTTGCGAGCCTGTAGTTGAAAAAGGTAACTTCATCAGTCGTATCGAAGATATCTAGATGGACAATATCCACAACATCTGTGGAAGCTATTATGGTGATATTCACATTTCTCTGGGAAAGGTAGTCAGCAATGATGCGGAAGGCGTCTAGCAGTTTTCTCTTTGATAAACGTGGCGGGCCTCGGGTATTTGTCGCTGCGGATGTGTGCCGCCGTGAAATGGACCTGCGCGATGGAGGAAGTAGACTGTATGGGGGCGGTCGCGCCGAGGTATATGGTGGCAGGGTTTCCCTTTCAGTATCGGGGGGTGGACACGATTGACTCGTCTGCGGGTTAACCGAAGAGGAGAAAGTTGACCCCATTGCAATAATTGTAGTGGAGTGAAAAGGAACTTTGCTTCGTCTTCTGTTCCGCTAGGTAATAGGGAGTGAGTCCCTTTATGATAATCCCAAAATTTTCTGCGGGGATAATGAAAGACGATGTGGAAGCCTTCAACGAAGCCCCCTTTTATATGTCATTAATAACATCTTCTCGCACCCCTTCGCTTCCTGCCCCAACTCACAGGTCAAAAATGGAAGCTTAATGTGTTTGCAGGATTTTTCGTATTGCCAACGGATCAATCCGACTCGCGGAAGACTGAGCACGTTGCTTTCTCAAGATACCATGTCGGCATTCTTCTTCCATCGTCACAGAATCCAATGACCGTCGCCGCATTGACAACCCATTGGAAATACGAGATGCTCTCAGGAACAACGATCAAGAAAAAACATTCGTATAGCAAATGGATTATTTGCTAACTGTTCCCTTGCATAATGCCATACGACCAAATGGCCTCTGAAGTGTATCAAACTCCACTTGTTTGACGCCGTTTGCAGAACAGATGTGGCCAACGGCAAGAACTGAAGGTTTGCTTGTAGCCGCCATAGCTTGTGCAGGGGGAATCCACGGCAATATGATACTGGGTCCGAATATACTTTTGGACATACGTAGGATATTTAGTTTCTTTGTAGACACCTACATTATTGATAGTATCGGAGAGCCCAACTACCAGGTTGCGAGGTCAGAAGGACTCACATAGGGCTTCAGGTCTCCATCACGAAATTGTTTTGAAGACAATAACGTCAACCGATCAAAAATCCTGCGTGTGATGGGTGAGGAAATCCATATGTATTATCGAGGTTGACAGTGTGATTGCCAGCAATGGCAATTTCATGTTGATAGAGCCGAAGATCGACCCGGTTACCAACTGCAAACCACCAGGCTGGACCTGGTAGCGATGAACCCTGTAGCTGTAGATGCCAGCAATGGGTAACAAAGGTTTTGCGGCTGGTGCTGAGAATTCCGGTGCAATTTGTAAAAGCTTTTTTGAAAAAGGATAGTCAAAAGAAGCATTCCACAGCGACTCAGGATATAAGCGGCTTGATGAAAAGAAAATAGAAATTTTGAGTCCAAGTGCTGTAGTAAGTGAGCCAAATAGCTTTTGAGAGCTCTGAGCATGGCCAGCAAGAGTTATGAGTTTACTCGTTGGCAACGGAGAAGTGGGCGCTAACAGGTTGGCAAGGTTGGTTTGTATCAAGAAGCAAAATCCATGCTCCGGTACAAATTGTTCAAGGTTCCGAGCCTTGACGCTAATATGAGCTGTGTTTTCAGTTACTACGGTTTAGTCCATCTCCAGGGATAAATATCTTGGTTATTGAGTGAAAACTCACACTTCCAGATTATCAGCAAACAGGCCCCCAAGAGAGAGAATCATCTGATTTTCAGTTAATCAGATAGTATTGGGAATAAAATATGGTGTTTAAAATATTTTAGGATCAGTGACTTCGTTTTAAGGATTGACCCTTTGGTGTAACTAGTGCTTATCACATCGTGCAAATTCTCAACGGAGAACGATTATTGTTCTCAGCACCCTTAGATTTAAGATCGTAGCAAACTGCTAAAGGTTGGGGAGAAACGGGACAGTTGTGTGTTCTATTCCAATTCAAAACATGTCTCAAGCTCGCTTAATAACTCCGTTCCAGATATGTTTATATAAGGCATACATATGCCCAAAAATATATGATTCCTCAGTAACACCCCTCACATCATCCAAAGAGAAGCTCCACCAAACCAACATTCCGGGTTTCCCATTGGCATCAAATGCTCCATACCAGAAAAATAAACAAGAAAGCGTATAGAAGGAGAAGAAGGCCAGCAAAAATGGAATGGTTACAAGAAAAGGAGGATAAAAAGAGGGTAAAAAGAGGCGGAAAAAGGAAAATAAAAACAAGTTACAAGGTGCTTGTCGCATATCGGTCAACAAGTACATCATCATAATACCACTGAAAACTTGCTGCTTGGACCGTATGGGCAAAGTGATGCATATCCGCTGGTGGTGGCAGTGGATGTGTCGATAGCTGTGACCATGCGAATGGGTCCATTACCATATTGGCGGGCCGCATGAGCTTGAGGTAACCGGAGGCCCAGCTAGTATATTCCCAAGTTGTTCACTAGCAATTGCGGCCGCTGTCATCATTCCTGCGCTTGCTGATGGTACCCAAGATGTTGTCTGATGCGCTTTTCGCTGCGGCTGTTGCGGCTGCTGCTGTTGGATAGGAGTAGGAGTGTTTGAGTAGAGATCCTCATCGACAGTAGCATCCCTTTGCAACTTTTGATGCAACGATCTAACTATCTGTGACCCCTTGGCAGCAATCGGAGAGTGATGGGCCATCCCATTCAGGAAATTTAAGCCCTCCAAGAAGGCAGAATGGGTTGAACCTTCAAGGTCAGAGTTTTCGGTAAAGGTTGGAAGTCCCTGGCGTGACAAGCGAACGTAGGCTCTCCTATTCCTTCGGAGACCCCTGACACACAAGCCTAGAACAACAGATGCCTCCAGTGCAATGAGGTTGACCAGAAAATACTTTTTGCAACCGCCAAGTAGCATATCTGCGAACCGCATCGCTGATCGTATAGTATCAGTGGTATACTCGATAAGTTTCCTTTGAAGTTTGAAGGCTGCCTTTTGCTCCTTGATTGATGGAAGGTTGGTAAAGTTTGGCTCGTGTAACAACCCAGTAAAAGAACGATGGGCTGTAGCGAAAGCACCAATTATTATTATATGGAGCTCTTCACGCTTTAAGGGAATACTAGGGAGAATGGTGTCGAATTGTTTATCGAAATCTGAGAGGCTGTAGGCCTGTGGAAGTGTAGATATGATTTCGGTTTCAATGCTTTCAGCAATGGCTGATGCCGCAGCTGGGCCTGGGACCCTAGGCTGTTGTTCTTCAGTTGTTTTTCGAGAATTGAGCATTTTCGTGAGTCGCATTTGAATAATTCTATTGGTGAAAGGGGTGGGAGCACCAGGCACAGTTGGTGTGGCAGGCAGTGCATCCCGAGGAAGTTTGACGTGGCAATACACGTCCGGGATGAGAGACCAATGCCCCTGAAGAATGGACATCAACCTACAAATAAAATTAGCTTAAATTCATATCAAATTCTACGATTTGATGGGATAAATCGGGTAACTTGAAGAGCACTGTTCATACTTATCCCACATGTAGATAGTGCCGAAAATTCGCTTCCTCATTTCCATTTCAAACTCAGAAACTTTGACCCTTGGATGCTCCAAATGGAGTTCGAGTATGTGTGCTTCTTTGACAACATCTGCAAGGACAATCCAGCTTTCCCTTAGGTTTGACCCATTGGTGAGAAATGACGCATTGAAGAACATATGTTGTATCGTTGTTAATGAAGTATGCCTTGGCCGAAAAGAATCGAGAATGCTAGCAGCATTTTGACACCGGGTCTCCAGATCGTTTAAACTGCATTGGAATGTTCTTTCATGAGGATAATTTGGATGGGGGAGTAGTTGTATACTACACAGACAGAGCCTGAGAATCAAAAGACCAAACTGAATGTCTTCGCTATCTTGGTAGGCTTGTTGCAACCACCAAGAAGTATACTTCTCCATAAATGTTGGAGGATAAATCATTTCATATATCCAATTTACCTCCTGTAAGAAGTATTGAATAAGGAAGTCAACAACATGCCTTTCTGGAAACAGGTCAAGCACAGCCTCCTGACTTCGCCGTGGGTCATTAGGTGTGCAGCCTGAATCAGATTGATTAAAGAAAAGGCTATCCAAAGGCCTGTAAAGGTTTAATCCGTCAGTCGTATTAAAACTACATATGTCGCACAATAATAAAGTAAACTAGGGAACATACGATGTTCCCAAAACCTCCCTGGCTAAATGGCTAGCACTTCCGGCCACGTAGCCAAGACTCTCCAGGATTTCCGAGTCGGTTTGTTCCACATAGTCATCTGCGATATCGGTTAGAAAATATGCTCAAATGAAATAAACCGTGTGTTGACGAACTTGGAGGTGAAAGCTCGCCAGGACCTTTACTCGCAGACGGAGTACATCTTTTAACGGTATGATCATAGCGACAAAGATGAGCCCTTGAGCCAGCGCAGTTATTGCATGGCCAATTTCTATTACACTGGGAATTGGTGAGCACTGTTTTAGGAATTTTGCAATGTAAAAGGCTGCGGTAGAGAGAAGAGATTGAGTATGCAACATACTTTTTGCTTCCTTCGACTGCATTCAGAACACGATCGTACTAGTCTCCTCCGACTACCCTTCCGCGCAGGGGTCTCTGGACACTGGGATCTCCGCATCCTGGAGCTTGTGTTTATTATCGTTGTCTTCAACGAGAAAGCAGGAATCGCCATTTAAATATAAGATTTTGGAAAGCATACGAGCATATAACGATCGTAAGACAAGCCCCCTTTACCATTTTAAATATCATGACTTAGGACTGCCAAACAATACGTAGCGTAAGGGTCTGTTTAATAGCCTTGTTTTTACCAGGAGTCCAGGACTAGCGGGACCGGTAGCATCACTAAAAATATCGCCCAAGCAGTTAGTATTAGCCTTAAATTAGTTAAATGCTTGGCACAATTGGAGCTGGGACCTCCTGGACAACAAGCCTGCTAGTGCTATGTCGAGAAACACTGGTGCCGGCGTTGGGCGATGTTCATCATGGGATTCTAATATTCCACTGTTCCGAAAAGGTTCGGGCGAGAGCGTGTAGGGCTCGTTGAAGTCCAGTCATAAGTCCAGTGAAATGCAGGCAAACTCTAATAATTTTCCTTCTTATTAATCTGATAGACGCATGGTGATCTTTGCTGTGGGAAACCACATTTATGAGTTGTCTCCAACGGAAGTACAGGAGGTGCCGCTATCCCTGCAGCCCATTGCTAATGTGGTATTGCAAGCTAGCTGGAGGGTCAAGATGCACGACGGATCTACCAACATCAAAAAGGGCTTATGGTTAAACTGAGGCAATAGGCGGACAGACGGACTATTTTTGGACCGGCTGAAGTAAATTGGGAATAAAGGCTCTTTACTCGGGGGATTGAGCTAACCGGTACCGCTGTATGCGCTCAGAACGCCTCAAGTAAGCAGGAGTGTCAACTTCTTCGTTCCTTTCGTTGTCACAGAATGGCCATGTCTTTCCTCTCCTCAAGCTCAATTGATGACCGCGCGGAAACGAAACATTTCGTGGATAGCCTTTTCTTTTTCTTTTTCTGTTTTCTCCCCCTCTTCCCAAGACATATCGATTTTCCTTTTCGGGACACCGACTACCCAACGGCGTCAAACAATCCACGTGTAGTGCTCCAGCAATGACTGGAGCTGAGGCAAAAAGATGCGATACGTCAATGACATGCGGCCTATGAGGTTCACCGGTTCCAAGAGACGGCTGTTTTTCAAAGGGTAATGCGCATAAAATGCTTGATGCATAACGCAGACCCCACTGATCGAGCGGGTGCTCCCTAGAAAGGTGGGGGAAGTTACTGCGTTTCTTGAACTTTGGAACCTCGGATCATTCGAGAAGAACTCCCGGCCAACCCCACTAGAATCTAGCTTCACGATAAGGCCTTGATTAATCGGCCGATCTCGAAGGTGGAGAGTTTCGGAAACTTGTCAAGGGATATCTGCAAGACTTTTGATCAAGGCGCCGATCAATGGTCAATCCGAAGCCCCAATCGGTCACCTATACTCCGTAGGCATTAGTGAGAGATGGCGAACTGGTCAAGATCTCGTTCCCTGCGATTTCTGGATACCAGGGGCTAATTAAAATGTAGATCGCGAATGCCAAGTTTCCAAGGTCTAAGAGGCTTCAGGAGCCAAGAAGTCAACTATGTAGATCAAATATGTTTGTTAACCCCGACGTAGATCGCATCAATCTCGCTGGCCATGGATTTAACGAATATCCATATCCCCTGGATTTATAAGTACCATCCCATAGGTTCCCGGCTGCGATACCCTTAACAGGGACCTAGTTAGGAGGTAGTGTCATCTTCCGAGCAGTTATTTTGCAGTTCGTGAGTTTCCCCAGCTTAGGATAAAGCCACACAATATCCCAACGAGGCCGGATGTGCTTCGACCCGGGGGGCGCAGAAACGGAAGAAAGTGTTGACGGCTCGGAATCAGAAGTTGTTGCAAGGTTAAACCCATAGGCATCCTATAGTGCCGATCGCAGGTAAACCACACCATTTCAGAGTTCACAATAATAGGAGCGATATTTGATTCCATATAGAAGTTGACGCTGCGGCATGGCATCCGTGGAGAACGCCGAATGTAGGCCAGAATAGCATCTGAGTACACCCTGGCCACGAAGACCCCTGAAGCCGCTAAACTCAAAATTAGCGGCCTTGATAAGGCAGCAAACACGCTAGCAGTAAAGAATCCCAAGGTTACATACTGGCGGAAACTTTTTTTTTTTTTTTTTTCATTTACACGTATTATTCAACGCTGAGCGACGAGTGTCAACATAAAAATAAACAAACAGAAAAAAACCATTCGAGCAAATTATTGATCGACCAGGCCACGAAAGCGCTAGTAGTTTCTTGGCCTTTCATGGTATGTAAAAGGCTTCTTTGGCGGGGAACTCCGATAATGGCCACATAACCAGGACACTAGAGAAAAGGAATGGCGCATATGATCTATCATGCTACGTGAAGAATCAGCAAGGTTGTTGCTGTTGTTGTTGTTGTTGCCGGCTGAATGCTTGCAAGCTTTGTCCCGGGGAAGGACAAAGGGGAAAACAAAAGAAATGAAAAGAACATTTCTAGCGTATTCTTCGGTGTTGACGTTTTAGCTTCTGTACCAACACACAAAAGCAAACTCCCGTTCGGGGATATCCACACGCTTTGGGGATACAACCCCCTTCGAAACCTCTGGTTCGCTACTGCGTATCTTAACACCCATGAGCATTTGGGATTTTCAAAGAGTAATGTTATCATTCTTGTCGTCCATTCTGCATGTGTGGGCGGATGTGAGTATGGCATCTTCCAGGGTGGCCCAGTAGGAATTCAGCATAATGTCTTTTCTATATTGTGAACTCTGTGAAGCAATTGGAGAAGCTTCTGGCGGGAATCACGCCTCCAAAATGGAACATCAGATTCACTCGGACTTCGGGGATCTCTTGCAAGATCAGCATCTTGGTTTAAAGATCAGCACTGGTGGGAGGCCCAAGGGGAAAAGTAAGGAATGAAAAGACAAGAGATAAAGGAAGATAGCGAAAATTTAGTTGACGGATTCATTATTTGACATCCGTGGATGGGGCCAGTCGTTCTTAACGTCAGCTAGCTAGGGCCTATGTCAGCGGGCGATATAAAACCTGGAGGCGTTGGAGAGCATACAGGACTCGCATTTCAGTGATCAGCCTCAGCAGCAATCTCACCGCTTCACCAGCGTGAATTCCACGGAGGACTCCGAAGAATGTAATCTGTAAAATTCAAGGCTTTGGGAATCCACGTGCATGGAGGACTCCTCGAAACAATCGGAAGCATGATATCCGGACTTGGGGAAATGCTGTGTCACATCAAAAACGCGATGGAAGCTCATGTTTCCGTCCCGAAACCGCGTGCGGCGACACGCGGAGTTGTCACGCCGCCACTTGGGACTACGGCTGTGATGGGATCGGATCACCGCAGTGGCTGGTTATCACCGCGAATCAATTCTAAAAACAAATATGGGTATAATTTCGACGAATAGGCACTATTTCGCCCAACCGCCATGACCCGTTCCCCCGCTGTTCGGGAACATACAGCGAGAGAAGTTAGAACATATCTTGGATGCCTAACGGTTTGCGATCCTGCTATGGGATCCTGTTTGGGACGAGCCGCGGCGGAGGAGTCGTTAGAAGACGTGTAGCTTGTATCTGTGTTTGACTTTATGACACCCGGAACCCGACCAAGCCGACCGACGGAGCCTGCTTGCAAGACGAATACATACCTGTAGCTGTCATCTCATTGACGTCCGGCACGAGGAATACAAACAGAATAAAACCCCAGGATATGGACTTGACTTGGTGTTGAAGTTTTAGAAACAAAAAAGACTTCAGCGCTCTGCGGGAGCTTGCCATCTTAAATATACCCGCCGTGGGTTCCTCGTATTGAGTTCCTCGAGAGGGATCCTAGGAAATGGATACGACAGAATCGCATAAACGAAGCTTAATTGCTGATCGCGAGCCCTACTCGAGGCAACCTTCGCCTCATCCCGCAGAAGACCCATTTTCTTTCGCGAGTTTGGTCACCGGCTGGGATGGTTTTCAAGACCAGGCTCGATATCCCACTGGTCTGCGGCCGTTAACTCTCCAATAAAATGGAACCTCGAATTATCCAGGATCTAAGCGAGCACTTTGCTAACCGCGATACACAGGAACGCGGCATAAGATTGGCGAAAACCGTTTCTCGATCTTCAATCTATGCGACTCCCTAAAACGATCAACGTTGCATAGTGGGAACGGCCGCCAGCACACCCTTCAGTGGAATCATCCAGGAAATAAATGTACTGGAACACCTGGGCCGTATTGGAGCCCGAGAACCGAGACTCAACGGGAGACAATCTTTGTCAATCCTGCTGGTCCGTAAACATGAATCAAATGGTTACCTGTATGCAATGTGCAGCCTACGTATTATAATACATCCTAGGCCTTTTCAAGGGAGCAGCAGCGACAATCCTGTGAACACGCGAGCGTGCGGCCTGTCTGGCAATAGCCATTCATTTGAATGTGCTGACGTTAATTTTATTCTCTTATACGATTGATTGACTACCATCCCAAGTGGATATATAGCCCATAAAAGAAAATTTAAAATATACACCAGTCGTTCATTAGTTATGTACCTGCGACACTTAATAAGAACACCGATTCTGCAAGTACAAATTTATCGAGAAGTATTTTTATTGTCTAGATTCACTTTCTCTAATTACCAAAGAAGAAAATATACAGAAAACTACTACTATATGAAAGCTTTTCTTGTTAATTTAATTTAATATAGAATTTGTTGAAGGGGTGTGTGGGGCAGAGCGCCTGGAGGAACCTGGCAAATCAAGGCCCACAAGAAGCCAGTACAATACCAGAGCTTCTACTCCGTTCTGTGACCACTACCTCTTTGCATTTCATGCTGACAATCCTCTAGAGGATAACTTTCCCTTCAGGCAGTCTTTTGCAGTACTGCTAGGTCTGGAGGGTTCCGGAGGCCGCGGATCCCAGAAAATGGGGTTGCGATAAAAAAACAAAAAACAAGGTTCGGGTTTGAAGGAGGTAAATCTGCCCCTGGTCTCAAATATTCTCTCTCCCTTACACAGGGCCATCCCTGGGAATTTTTGCAAATGCCCAGATAGCACGGGCCTGTTGTTCTAGCATAATAGCCCAGCATTACCACTGGGGGAAGGATGCCATCGCAAAAACCTTCTCTGCTAGTTCTGAAGTCGGATATTTTTGGATGCAAATCTAGACGGCTTCCCCGTTCTGACGCGGTCAATGGGCCCCTAGTTGCCCTATTCTGTGACGGATGGTCAACGTTGGTCACAATATGGTAGTATACCAACAAGCAACCCGGGGCGAGCTTGCGTCTGAAGGTTGTTGAGCCCGATTGGGCGGTGAGCGTGACCATATTTACCGGAGGACTGCTCTCCGCCCTGCCTTGAGAGTACAACCTGGGGATGTACTACCGGAGAATCTGGTTAGGGTGACGAGACAACATAGATGTGCCACACGAAAGGTTTTAAGTCTTTCCCGTCAGTTTGCATTCATCGAGTTTAAGGTCGCTTCGCGGTGAAATCGGTCTTCAACTTGTCAGTGGTTCAAGAATTCTCTGATGATCGAGGATGAGAATTTCCGCAGTTTTTTGTTGAGATTAGGGGAGAAAGGCAGGCCAAAAGACAAAACTGGGGATTACCGCCAAATTCCCTTTGATCTCATGCTTTTCCTTTCTTTTTTTATTTTATATTCTCGTTTTTTCCCACGGGAGGATTGTTTATTTACAATGATTGAGAGATTATCCACAATGCTTTGGCCATATCTTGCAACTTGGACACTAGACTGGAATAGGAATAGTGCAGCCTGAGATTGACATCACCTTCGCTTCAACATACTTTCGAATCCAGGTTTTTACCGGTTTCCAGCTGTTCGACAAAGCAACCCGGCTTCAAGCGGAGGATGGCAATCGAAGAAGCTACTGCTGTCTTGTCACACAGATAAAGACTATATCTCGATGCCGATGTCTAGCCACTGTACGCTATTATATTAGCTGCTCTGAGCAGAGTCTTTGCGCTTAAGACGGAGCCGGTCAAGTACTTGATTTCGGATCCGAGCCCGCCTTTGAGGTGGGAGAGACACCACATATAAACAGGGACAGAGCTGCAATCACTATCGATGGTACTGAGAACATTTGCCTTCGATAAGGCTGAAGCTAAAGAATGCAAAAGAAATGAGATAAATAAGGAATGTCAATCTGACCTGCCCGGCCACTTTCGGGGCTTTCATCCAGATTTGATACCAATACCTCAAGTGAATTCAGACGACGTCAAATTATTCAAACAGGGATGTGTTCACTCATCTAGGGATACCTTCCCTCTATTTATTGATACTTGTCATGGACGAGCCAAATTAGACTCGAAGGTACACGCCAAGCAAGTCCAAAACTCTCACAAAATAATCAGTGACTTACATCACTGCTTGAATATCGCCACAAGTTAAAACAAGTAGACGCTTCAATTTGTCCATGTTGCTTGAGTTTTGTATCCCAGCGTGGCTTTATGAGTCCAGAACACGGGTCGACGTCATTTTGAGTTAACCTGCCCAGACAGAATATGACGTCTTTTCGTTCGAATTGCGTCTCAAAATCCTCTTACTCCCTCGGAATATTGAATGAGGTTGGTTCTCCATATCATTTACACAAGTTCCAGTTTCAACTTTGAAAAAGAACCAGGGAATATTTTTCATCGCCCCCCATGACTAGCAAGGTTGCAGAAGGGCTCCAGAGGGTCAAGGAGCTGGTGGAAAACATGCAGCCAGGAGAGCAAAAGGTCGTAGACCTCGCCCGCGATACTACAGACGTCAACGGATGCCTCCCCTTCACCACTGACCATGGAGTCAAAGTTAGCGATACGGACTTTTGGCTTCGACTTGCATCCGAAAATCAAACCGGCCCATCGCTTTTGGAGGATCAGATTGCTCGTGAAAAGGTTTCATCTACCTCTCGTCTACCTCCCTATTGTCTTCCATCTCTTCCAAGCTTTGCGTGCAACATATGATAACGATCGAGTTAGATCCATCGATTTGACCATGAAAGAATCCCAGAACGTGTGGTCCATGCACGAGGAACAGGTGCTTTTGGGCACTTCAAGCTCTACGAGAGCGCGGCAGACGTGACGTCCGCTGGTGTTCTAACTGACACGTCCCGGACTACTCCGGTGTTCGTTCGGTTTTCCACCGTCCAGGGCAGCAAAGGCAGTTTCGATACAGTCCGTGATGTCCGAGGTTTCGCTACCAAATTCTATACAGAAGAAGGCAACTGGGATCTTGTTGGAAATAACATTCCTGTATTCTTCATTCAAGATGCTGTGAAATTCCCAGATTTTGGTAGGTATTGATTGAGATCCCATTTCTTCATTATGGATATTTTCGTATTGACCGTTTTACAACTCGACATTAGTTCACGCTGTGAAGCCGGAACCTCATAACGAAGTTCCCCAGGGGCAAACAGCACATAACAACTTCTGGGACTTTGTTTATATGCATCCTGAGGCGACGCATATGTTCATGTGGGCTATGTCAGACAGGGCTATTCCGCGATCATATCGGATGATGCAAGGATTTGGTGTTAATACTTTCGTTTTGGTGAATAAACAAGGGAAAAGACATTTCGTTAAGTTTCACTGGATGCCTGAACTTGGGGTTCATTCCTTGGTCCCCGATGAATCATTCAAACTTGGTGGCCAGGACCCAGACTTTCACCGTAAAGACCTAATGGAGGCAATCGACAATAAGGTGTACCCGAAATGGAAGCTTGGAATTCAGGTTCTTCCTGAAGAAAAAGAGCACGATTTTGATTTTGATATACTTGATTCAACTAAGATATGGCCAGAGACCCTAATACCTGTTCGGTATGTTGGAGAGATGGAGCTCAACCGCAACATTGATGAGTTTTTCCCACAGACAGAACAGGTTGCCTTCTGTACCGCCCACATTGTCCCTGGAATTGAATTCTCCGACGATCCTCTGCTCCAGGGACGCAATTTCTCCTATTTTGACACTCAAATTACCCGCCTTGGTGTCAACTGGGAGGAGCTCCCCATCAATCGTCCTGTGTGCCCTGTTATGAATCACAACAGGGATGGTGCAATGCGACATAAGATAACCCAAGGAACCGTAAACTATTGGCCGAACCGTTTCGAGGCTTGCCCACCCACGAAACCCGAGGATGGGGGTTTTGTCACTTACCCTCAAAAGGTAGAGCAGAGTATCAAAGTGAGGATGCTTAGTAGCAAGTTCCGCGAGCATATCAACCAAGCGCAATTATTCTATAACTCTCTCTCCGAATACGAAAAGCTCCATGTCAAAAATGCTTTTTGCTTTGAGTTGGATCACTGCGATGACCCCATTGTCTACAACAGACTTGTGTCTCGGATTTCTGAAATCGACCATGCCCTCGCCCAAGCTGTCGCAGTGAAAGTCGGCGCACCGACCCCACAAAGGCCTGGGAGAGACAACCCAGGTCAAACAGCCATTAACCTAAGCCAAAAATACATCAACGACCGTCAGCCGTCCTCTCCCACGATGAAGGGTCGGAGGATCGCCATCTTGATTGGGGATGGTTACGACTCCGTCGCCTTTGGCACGGCCATAGCTGCGGTGAGCGCCATGGGCGCGCTACCCTTCATAATCGGCACGAAGCGGCAACCCATCTTTGCCGACGACGAGGACAGGAATCACTCCAAGGGTGTGACTCCAAACCACAACTACACCAGCCAACGTTCCACTTGTTTCGACGCCACTTTCATCCCTGGTGGCTCACATATCAAGGAATTGAGCCAGCTGGGCCCTATCCAGCACTGGGTTGCCGAGCAGTTCGGACACTGCAAGGCAATTGGCGCCACAGGAGAGGCCATCAATCTTATCGTGCAGGCTCTGAACAACCTGCCCGATTTGGAGGTCGCATCGGCCTCGTCAGGGCATCCAGTCGATTGGTACGGCGTTGTCACGTCGAGTAAGCTGCATGAGCCCCATAGTTTGACCGAAGGGATCAAGTTGTTTCCCGAGGCGAGTGATTTCTTGGGCAAGTTCTTTTATCAGATCTCCCAGCATCGGAATTACGAGCGGGAGATGGCTGGGTTGACGGACAAGGTTCCATTTTAAATAGCAACATGGCATGGGTGTGAGTCGTTAGGAAATCAGTGAAAGTTAGGTTAAGAAATTAATAGCCAGGCCCCAAAAACAACTATACATACTGTAAATATTAGGTTTAATTTTTGGCTTGTATGTTCCTCTGGCAACAATGAATTGATTTTATTGCCGTTGCCATTTCTAACAAGTTGTCACAACTAATATATATCCAATCGAATCCATGAAAATGGCATGCTCGTTCACATGTGCTGTCTGATGCAGATTTAAATTGCTAGTGGTTGAACAAAATTATTGAATTCTATGCTGTGGGAAGACTAGTCACATTTGTTTGCCGATTGATGGTGATTTGTTTTACGCTATGTACGATTCCATCCCTCATAACTATGTGAGGGTTTGAGTTACTATTCCTAACTCCTGGATGAGGGGGAACTAATTGAATTTGAAGAAAACATCGAACGGATATAGAACTTAATAAAACCAAAAATTTTCAGATCATGATACTGACAAATGGGTACGCTATCAGGGATACCTAGATGGATGCCTACCAAAAAAAATAAAAAAATAAAAATAAAAATAAAAATAAAAATAAAAATAAACATAAAAATAAAAATAAAATACGAGGTGTAGTATAAAAATGGGACGATAGTATTGAAAAAGGACAACCATCCGTCGCTGGAAGCTATAAAGGAATAGGAAGGTGACACATGAGAAAAGCGTTTCCCTAATCAGGCCAAGGAATGATAGATTTTGATCTCTCAACGAATGAAGAAAGAAAAATAGTTGAATACAAGCCAGTGTTGTGGATATATGCAACATGAAGGGAATTGAATGTCATAGACAAGAAAAAGAACCCCAGAATTCGTGGGTCGTACATAATATAGTCAAAAAATGTCAAAAGAAGGGGAAATAGAAAATTGAAAAGAAAGAGTGAGAAGCCTAGCGCCATCCCCATGTTCTTTTCCCCGTCCTTTCCTCACGCCCATCTCCACATGGGTCTCCACACATCCTTCTCCTTCTCACCACCAGTCTCCATAGTCTTACTCCTACACATACAGGTCCCAATGACGCCCTCATTCCCGTCGCCGATGCCACCGCCCACAGTAGAACTACTATTCATATAGCCCGTGCCCGGCGTCACTGTCGCCGACATAGCAAGCGGGTCCACATGGCCGCCACCCTTTAGCAGCAAGTTTATCGCAGCCGCAACATCCAATGACTCGCCCGTGTCCGTGCATTTCAAGGCCCATTTGGCAGCGTCCTCGTTGAAACCTAGCTCCTTCACCATCTTGTGCATGGCAATATCAACCGGGTCAAGGACATAAGAAGATGTAGAATAACGGCCGCGAGATATCTTCTCTTCGGCAGCCGTTTCGGGCGTGGAGAATGTTCGTTGGTGTTGTTTGGGAGCCGATGAAGAGTGGAAGGTGGAGCGTGATGATAATGCTTGAGTGATTTCTGGGCCTGAAGGTGGCGTGGGTGATTCGAGGGTGACGGTTGGTACTGGGGGTGCAGAAGTGGGAACGGGGCCTAGCAGTGATTTTTTAGTAAGAATGGCGTCGCTGGAGGCGGTAAAATTTTGGGTGCTGGAAGTAATGCGTTGCGTCATTTGTAATGTTGTATTGATTGGAGGTGGGATGGCTGTTGGTAGGGGTGGAACTGGGGAGAGGTCTCGATGGCTTTTTCTGTTGCTACGGTCAAGATTCTTTATGACGGTTGGAGAAATGAGAGATTGGTCTCTCCTCTCTGGAATCTGTAACCGCGCTGGTAACATCTGCGCTGACGGACATGTCAGAACCGTAGGATTCTTTGCGCTTTCGACGTAGCTCAGCGGCAAATCCGGCTTGACGTCGGCGGTTGGGGTTGGAAAACTGTGGTGACAAAGAGCCTGAAGACGATGACGAGATCTCGCGAGAGTGCCCGCGGTGTCTTGCGATGGGGCTAGGGGAATGTGGCGGCGGTGAGTTGGCATTTGGCGTCCTGGACGATATGGGAGTCTGCATGCTTGCTAATCTTGATTCGTAGACTTGAGAAACCGCTTCTTTCAAGAATAATCTTGGTGCACCGCCGTTACTTGAATCTGGGGCTTTCCATTTCGTCCACCCATTGGCCTGTGCTCTGGAAAACAATGTCTCAATCGGTGCATCAGGGTTGATGCTAGTGAGGGTGAGAATAGCGGATGGTCCAAGGGTTAGAAGATACTGAGTCCAGCTTTCTATTATGCTGTGTGAGCACAAACTGCATCAGAAATTACAAGACAAAATGTGAATGGTAACTGCGCACCTATCAGAGATTCCTCCTTCACAACATCACCAGATGTCACCTTCAAGTCGTCAAAGACTCCAAAATGCCGGGCCACCTTGCATTTCCCATGAAACACCTGCAAAAGGACACCAAGGCAGGTCCAAATTTCCATCATGTCGTAGAGTTCCGTGGACAACAGTCCTCCATGGTTGCCTTTGCTGAAAGCAGACGGCGCGTTGAACAAAACGCTATGGACCCCCACGGGATATTGCATAAGAATGTTAGTACCACGGTTTTCCTCTTCAGCAAGTCGACCACCATTGAGCCAGTCGACTTGTGCAGTGATATCATCTTCTCTTCCCTTTCCACAGCCAAACAGCTTGCAGAAAGTCCAGACCCTCCAGAACGCTTCATCAACCTCTAAGCAACGAGTCTCGTCCAATCCCGCCAATGCTCTGGCGGTATCGGGGCGTAGGAAGTTCTCGCAGCGTACAAGGATGAGGGATTTTAAAGCAACCATGGTATAGAGGTCTCGCGTGTAATGATTTATGTATAAATTCGGTGTGTATTCTGGCACAGACATGTCAATATCTCCTGTTTCGTCGCCCTCTGTCTCCCAAGGTGGGCATATCTCGCGCAGCTCCCATGCAGCAGGGGACATGCGGAACAAAGTATCCTTTATTAGGGTCAATGAATGTTCTCTGAAGACGGAGTAGAAGGCCTTGTTAATGACAGAGAGATTAAACAAATCCTCAAGGTTGTCGATTTTCTGCATGATCTGATAGATAACACTCTTCGCTATCTCGCTGGGGAAGGGTTCGCAAAGCATGTCTTTGGACCCCACACGTTCGCTGGCGGAGGACAACTCACTGTCCTCGAGCTCGAACACCTCATTATTTTTATTATGGAAGGAACAAGTGATATAAGGAGATTCTGGTTGCTCTGGATCAAGCCTGTTAAGGACCGCCATGATGCGCTCCTTGGAACTGGTCTCGTTGTTGATGTCAGGATGGTTTTCTTGGTCAGTAGGGGACTCCACCACTGCACTGAGGTTGACAGGCCCCCTGATCGACTTGGCGCTGAGCTGGGTTCGTAGGCGGGGCAAGCTGAGTCGAAGGTTACGCTGGACACTCTCTTCCCGTCCCTTCCTTAACGTCACCACGCGATTTACCGTTTCTGTCGGTTTCGCATCATCGCTGCTGTTGTTACTGGAGCTCATGCTATAGTCGAAATTATCATCATTCTCACAAACCTGCGGCAACGGGCTGGGCAATGGTTGGCGCTTATCAACCGCCTCTACTAACTCACTAATCGTCGGTGTCACTTTAACCTTCTTTTTACCGCTCCAACTCTTTTTGGCTGGAAAACTGAAAGAAGAATGACCGTTGCGCTTCTTAGGCGAAGATGCCTTCTTAGTCGGGGACGCGGATGAGTGTGGACCAGGTTTTGTTCGATGAGAGCGTGGTTTCAGTGGTTTAGGTGCGCAATCTGCAGGAAACTCGAGAGGAGAAAATCGATTCCAACCTATATTTAACCAACTGGTATTATTTCTAGTGGACCGAGACAGAGTAGAGAGCTGTTCTTCCAGCTCAAAGGTAGCCATGCGCAGAGATGGAGAGCTAGAGATTGTGCTTGAGCCGGAAGCTCGTCCTGATTTCGATTTGGCGTGTTTACTGGGCTCCACATGATAAAAACCTGAACGACGGAATGCCTCATCCAAAATATCAAGGTCAGACGGTCGTGGGTCTCGTGGCAGGAATACCGGTTTGCTTGTCGGCTGGATTAACCGACCGCAATGGGAGGCATTGCCCATGGGTGCTTGTCCGACGGTACGCCGGATCGACTGTGGAGTAATTTCTATCACTGGTTCTGGAGGCAAGGGTTTATTGCGTAACTTTCTGAGGCTGATTTTGTTCTTGAACGTAGGATTCCTCTTCAGGCGAGTGTTATCGTCGAACACGCCAGCAGTAACGGGAGATATTAACGAATAAGCCTTGTTGTGTCTAGAACATCCGTCTGCAACGGATTTTTGGGGGAAGTCATCTGAGTATATACTAGACCTTGAGGAGGTTGGGCTATTCGGTGCAGAGACACTTCTACCGAGCTCGGAAGAAGTAGTTGAATTACCACTTTTTCCAGACTCGTCCAAAAGCGGGTCCGTTTCAACTTGAATGAGCTTGTCAAAGGAGGGAGGAACAAAAGCTCGCTGAGGCTGGGGCATATCGATTGACAAAGGTGAAACAACTGTCGAAGGGGCTAGAGATTGTATACATCCAGGGGTGGCTGGGATAGCCTTTTTCTGAAAAACCAAGCCCAGGATTGGCGATACATTCTCAGTAGTGGCTTTTGCAGACACTTCCTGGGGAAGGTCAGCATTGGGGGCTTTGCGGTATGGCCTACTTCGTCCAGGGTGTATGGGTGGTGGGCTAAGCTCGCTACCCTCGGGCAGGCTGGGACACCTATCTTGTCTCTGGTCTGCAGTTATAGGACATGAACTCCCTGCTGGGTACATATTTGTGGATCCTCGCTCACCCTGTATAGAGTTCAATATCCTTGTCTGCCGTTCGGGGGGAAGCACCCTTGGCGAAATCTCCTGGGGAAATTGTACGATTTCCAATTCATTTGCGTCTGGAAACTTGGGCGAATCCTGTTTCTTACTCCACTCAAGGGTGGAATTCAAAGCAGGATGAAGAGGTAAAAGCTGGGCATCGGCCGCCAATTTGTCAATTTTATTACACTGCAAGTTGGTACTTGTGCTAATAGCTATAGAGTCAGTGGATTTGGATTTCGGTGAATCTGCTGATTCGCTCTTCCTCTTCTTCGTAGCGGTGCCTTTCGATTTCTTCGACGTGGGAGACCCGTTTGTCGGACGGGAGGTGCGCAGGGGCCATCTAACTTGTAGTGCTGCCATTGAATAGCGAGGCTTCTTCTCCTTGCTCTGTATCTCCAGCAAGGGAGAGCAATAACCCGCTGCAGGAAAACTCAAAGACATGATCAAACACTGAGGGAGATTGGTGCTGCGCGGTATTCTACCTGAATTCCTGTTAGCATCGTTTTTGAGTTTCAAAGAATAAACGAAGTATACCGACTGTGGAGAAAGGAGACGGATGGTGGAGTTGTAGACAAAGGAGTGCGAACAAAATGGCTCATAGAAGACCCATACCTTGACCTACCTGTTGAAACCCTACTTTTATTGCTCATGAAAGGCAAAAATGGTTAAACGGAGGAACTAGTCATCCAAAGATACTAGTAGAGGAGAACGACAATGTGTCCAGAATCGCAATCGACGTAGTCCACAATCCACTGGTGAAATCCCTCTCGGCAGGGGAGTCTATACCAATCGAACAAAGTAAAATATAAACCCTCGTTGATGTCCTTTCTTCCTCCCGTTCCTTTATCTCCTTTATCTCCTCATATTCATTCAAGCTCCATGAAGATCGCGTTTTCATCCAGACATCAAGTTAGGATACATCAAGCAATTAATGCACAAAATTCTACATACGCACGGTAAAATGACCAAGCAGGGGAATAATAGAACCAGCTGTCCTTATATGAGCCAAAATCACAAGGCTTCCAAGCACAAAACCAGAAGAAAAGGGAAGGAATTCGAGAAGAGAAATGTAGGGCACGGCTTCGAGACGAGGTTTGTTGTGGTCGGCGCAGCGCTTGATATAGATATACGAACCCCAGCCAGAGTCGAGCAGCAGACGAGGCCTGTACAGTAAGTTAGTTACATGCGCAGTTCTCCGTAGCCACTCCACTAAAATAAATTCCCTTGGCCGTGCCATTTGATCTATAAGCGGTAACAGCGGCGTATTTGCGTGCTGTTAAATCCGAATCTGCTTTCCTTAAAAACACACAGTTTGTTCATGGCCATGAATATCAGGCGTGAGGTATTCCAAGGTGAAACCAACCCCATGCTCCCTGAGCCCGAATCCTCTCTGAGCAGCCTTTGACACTCCCGACATCATGGCCGGCGATGCCAGTGCGCTGAGCCGCAAGACGGTTCAGTCGCATGCACCCAGAAACCGAAACGAAGCCCTGCGATTGGGCTCCGGTATCCAAGCTGGGGAATGGCCCGTATCTTTCGGGTTGGGGAATCAAACAAGATCGCCTTTGAAAAATACCCCTGGTGAAGACTGCTGCGTCATATCGCCAGGAGTAGCGGGGAAGTTGGTGGGTTGGCCTGTTGGCCTGTTGGCCTGTTGGCCTCTTGGAGCAGTGCGCCTATCCGCCATTCAGCTTAGTCCGTCGCTCTGACGAAGCTAGAGTTGAGATACAGCCCCCAACATCCCTCCCTCCTCGGAGTCAAGAGTTGCGTTCAGGATGCTTCGGGTCTCTGTATGGAAGATACAGCAAACCATCTAGTTACGATTCTCGGGTCGGTCCGTTAAAAATAAAGATATCAACCAAAAATAACGTCGCAAAAGAATATCCACTCAAGCAGGAAATAGTGTGAGGAAAAACCGGCCCGTTGGTTTATGATTCCGAAGCTAACGACCATCGCCCAGAGTAACTAAGTCGCTGATGAAGTTTCTAGAGTTGGGGGCTGAGCATTTCCAACCGTCCCTGACAACAAGCAACAGCCCTACACGGCATGAGCCAATGGCATGAACGGCAGCTATTTATTTCCATGCTATTTTCATACTTGATATTTACTACTTCTCCAGGTTTGGATTGTTCTCTCTATTCCGCGATTCCTCTCCCACCTGTGCCGACAATGCTAGATACTAGTGCTAGTATTCAAACATTGATATCGGGCCTCGATCATGCACCCGATTGACGGACCCGTGGATGAGGGGTACTTGGTCAGGGATAAAAAGCCGGATCTGGGTCAACTATATCAAAAGAAAAGAAAGAAAAGAAAGGGGAAGGGGAAGGGGAAGGGGAAGGGAACCCCCGCGCTGGACTTCAAACAAAAAATCCCCGGTGCCCGATCCCCAACTAACTTACTTGTTAGTGCTGATGGTGTTACGTACAAATTATTAAATTCATGAAGTGGGCTCCATTGTTCGCTAACCATGGATGGCTATCCAAAGCAACAAAGGCCAGTGCTCTTGTTTTGTCTATTAATATTCAATTGCTTCGAGAGTGGAATAAATGGAGAGTTGTCGCGATTCTTTGTTTCCGGCCAGAGTTACTAACAAGCTATGCGTCGCAATTGAAAGGTACTCCATCAACTGTTTGGCCCCAGTTGGAGATTGTTCACCAACAACCAACATGTTGGCTCCGGCTAAACCATAGCGATGTGCGATACATCCCCGAGACGCCAGGACCCTTCCTACTTGTTGTATTCCAAGGTGTGTAATTGTGAACTTGAGCCCTGTTACTCAGCGGGGTCCCCCTTTAGTGGAAGTGTGAAAGTCCAATTCTACACTATTTATACCCCACCTCAAGCGCCTTTCTCGAGATCCACTTGGCTCCATATATAGTTACTAGTATATTTATATATTATTATTATTTTAGACTTTCAGTGACAGTATGGGAAGCACCTCCGGGACGGTAACATTTATCAACTTTCTTCCTCACCTTTAATATCATATTGGTTCTTTCAACGTGTCGTGAGGTAGTTAAACTCCCCGAAAAATTAGCCTCCAAGCGTAAAGGCGCCATCGAGGTCATAAGTGATTAATGGACTTTGGCGCTGATGGTGATGGTATCAAACTGAAAACGTCTCCTCAACTAGGCCCAAAGGGAACATTTCCCATTAGCACCAGCAGAACCGGTTTGTTGTATGTGGGCATGCGCCGTTCGAAAATGAGAATAGCCCTTCCAAGTATGTATTTCATTCTCCAGATCAGACGAGAATGAGTTCGAAGATAACATATGAAATACCCTGAGCCATGGTTGGGTGTTCGTTCAAATCGACCGTTGCGTCTTTCTAGGATTCAACCACTTTCTTTCCCAATAACATAGCAAGCAACATAGTGTGGTAGTGCCTAGACAGAAACTCAAGAACTCAGGCAGCATGCGGAGCGGAAGAGACGAGATAGGTGCGAGCGACTCCTCGTATTTCAATTTCGACACTTGGCCAAAAAAAACAAAAAATAAAAATAAAAATAAAAATAAAAATAAGCGAAGGGAGTGAAGTGCGTGTATTTCTTCTCCTTGTCTATCCAGCCCTCAATTTCCTAACCAAATATTCAAGACAGTGAAAAAATCTTGAAGGATGATTGCTAGGCTTCTTTTCTGTCAACAACGGCTTCAGCATTTTAGCTTCACGGAAGCACTGGCTGATCTACTGATTGCCCTGG